ACACACCCTAAATGTGGGCGTTACCTTCTGATGACAGCCGGTATAAAAGACCAAGGCAGAGGAGAATGCGAGGCTTTTTGCAGCTTGCCTTCTCTCTCGCTGGTGAGTTCATCTTGCTGCTGTAGACTGAAGACTAGCTGATATTTTGGAATTTGTCAGACCTTCAGCACCGGATTGGGACTACTGAGACATCCAGCCTTGTGGACTGAGCGACTACAGATTCTCAGCCTCTCCAGTGTGGTGCAGCCATTGTTGGACTACTTGGAATCTATCCTGTGAGCTAAGCTGATAAATCTCTATACATATATATTCATTCTACTGGTTCTGTTTCTTTGGAGAACCCTGACTAATACAGTCCCTCAACTTCTTCATGATGCATTAAGTTGCTGTGCATTTTAGATTTGACACTTGTCTTATGGACAGTTGACTTCCACCAGTTCAATTCCATTTGTACCTTGTTTTCGCATCAATATCCTGATTACTTTGGAGACGTTGAACTAAAAAAAGGACGTATTTTAACCACTTCAAGCCTTTAAGATTTTGCTGAGGTTTCAGGATTCTTTTCTGCAATTAGACAGTGTACACATTTCAATTCTGGGCACTTGAAGGACAGTCTGTGTTTTCTAATATCAAACCCAGATGTGTGCAATTTGTAACAGTTTTGACAAGTTTTCCTGTTGTAGGCTAACCAACTCATTGTGGTTTGTCAAGACTTTCATGGGGCACTGAAAGTCCCACCTCTTGGAAGCTTCTTGAATTCCAAACCAATTGGATAATTGGTTTCTTTACACCACTTTTACCCTGAAACAAAATGGCAGAGTGGTCATTCTTCACTGGAAAATTGCATTCCCAGTTACTTTCAAAGGAGGGAAAGGTGCAAAACTTCTTTAGAAATCTTAAATTTCTGTTGTATTATTTCAAGTATTTAAGAGTTATATTGACAGAGAATAGTTGGTGGATTTACTAATAATAATTATTGACTTAATAGAATATGGTCATAAAATTAAATACTGAACATGTAAGAAAATATTGCTTATTTTCCAAAAGCAATGAAAGGATGAAAATGATTACATTTTCAACATCTTACATGGAAATTTACACTTCATACACCCTCTCTTGAACTTGCTTTATTTCAGGGTGTTTTGTTTTGTCTTTTTGTCAGTGGAAAAGGTTTTATTGAGACCCCATGAGCTGCACAATGTGCTTCTAACACTAAGCACCTTCCTCCTTGGCAATCTGGTCTTTCTTGAGTGGTCCCATAAATGTTTTCTTCTCCTTCATGGTCTGGTAACAGTCACGGCCAAATTTGGAGGTGGTGTCAATGAACTTCAGGTCAATCTTCTCCAGAGCACCACATTTGGTCTGTTCCAGCAAGGACTTGCGAAGGATGAGTACTGGCTTCTTGGGTCCCACCACACAGCCTTTCAGCAAGACGAAATCATTGGTCACCTCACCATAATGGACAAAGCCACCCAAGGGGTTTATGCTCTTGTCAGAAAGGGGTGAAGGCATTGTTCTTTATCACCTTGCTATCCTTGATAAGGTAGCCCTGACCAATCTTGTAAATCTTCTTGTTGATCTCCATGCCATGATGGTAGCTTCTTTGCTCAGCTTGAACCACAGAGAAGGCCACACAGGCAGGGCGCCAGGCTCTGGTACAAGCAACCTTGCACAGACCTCGGTGGATCTTCCAGGGCAGCCTCTTTGATGTGCCAGCAGCTGGTGGCCCATTTGTAGACTTTGCCTTTGGTCACCCCGATGACATCAGTCGACTTATCCTGCCCAAACACCTGGTTTACCTGGACTTGCTGCTCCAGCCTCCCCTGGCCCAGTCTCGTTTCTCAGCTACGGTGCCCGAGTTCACCTGGATCTCCGTCAAGTGGGCCTCCTGACTGAGAGGAAGCAGGCCAGCAGCTGGCTGTGGGTGATGAGGCTGATGACCTGGCAGTACTTCTTCAAGCTGTTGAAGTTCTTCTCCAGCTATTTCTTGCCCATGTCGTCCTGCCATTTCTTACAGCACTTGATGAAGGCGTTCTTCTTAGATTTGTGTCAGTTCTTGTAGAAGCACCTTTTGCATTCATCCCAGATATGCTCAGCAAAGACGGTCTTAAAGGGGCAGAGGCCACATGAGGTTTCTACATAGCCCACAATGCCCACAATCACCATAGGGGTATCTCCACAATTGTGACAGCATCCACAACCTCCATCTTGTTCACCTTGGATCCTGGCCTGTCAATTTCATACACAATGTGAATAATGCCAGCCTTATAGCCCAGATAGGATGTGAGGTAGAAAGACTTGGAAGGTTCATCTTTGGGGAAGCTCTTTACTTTCCCATGATGCTGGCTGCTGCATTTCCAAGGCAAGAAGCCCAAAGACCTGTGCCTGGGAGCAGAGAACTTCCTATGAGAGAGACATCGCTCCACCATAGAGTATTTCAGGTTTTTCTTTTTAACTTTTTGCAGCTACCCTACTAAGTAAAATCAAATTAACCATAAAACAGACCATATATTTACCTCTTTCCTGAACTCATGTTATGTGCATATATGTAATGTACATATATACATATACATATGTATTTCACCATATCTTAACATGCCTTGTAAAATCATAAGGACTAAAAATGCAAAAGTGGAAGTGTATTGCTTCAGGCAAATTCAGTACAACCAAATTGCTATTTCATTTCATCATGTGACAAAGTCAACTGGGAATTTCCAGATGTGAAAAGAGTAAAAATGCCAACTTTATTCAAATACATGCCAAAGCAAAATCAGAGTTTAAAATGGATGAGATTGAGGAAAAAGCTAATTTTGTTTGGCATGTACTGGAAAATCCTAATTTTATGTAATTTAAAAATGGTTCTCCCACCCTTTATATAACCATAGAGGGAAAGGCAAGCCTACTCAAAGCACATTTCTCAGAGTTCTTACATTTTTGTCAATAATTTGTATTTTTGTAACAAATTTTGACTTAATTGATGATGCCCTTGGAAGATTTCATAAATAAAACAAATTACTTTAGAAGAGACTGTCAAAAAGCAGATGCAACTGGATTTGGAGAGGACAAAATGGATTTACCATACATCTATACCCATCCTATAATCCTACAGATAAAGTCATAATGTAGCCACAATTATACAAGAAATAGTATTTGTATGATTTTCTATAAACCCAAGAAAGCCAGTATTTGTTTGAGTGCTTTAGGGATGATTTGTCTCAGAAGGATAATTCACATGTTTACTCCTAGCCTACAGATGAAGCCATAGGACAGCTACCATTTCATAAATATCAGAAGAATATGTACTAAAGAATCCAGTCTTGTCTGCAACTGCAGTATGATTTCTTCTACAGACATACTCTAAGTGCCATGCATATGAATAAACTAAGAGGTCATAGAAAGTATGGGATTAGAGGTACTTTGATACCTAGTAGACAGATCATGGTGTTGGGAGTCAAAAAGATCTGGGTTCAAATCCCACAACAATGTATAAACTACATCAACCTGGGAAAACTTACAGTCTCTCAGCTGTAATCTCTTCATCTACTTGAGGGTGATAATAACATCCCATGGTGATGCTGTATGGATAATAATTAGAAATAATAATTCTTGGATGCTTAGTGAGTACCCAGGAGGAGCACTATATTAAGTGCCCCGTGTGTTCAATCATTGTCATCATCATCATTTTTATCTAGTTTCACAGAGGAAGATCTATTGATGGCAAGTAGTCTCTCAAAGTGATCTAAAATACAGTAAAAGGAGTTGAGGCATAAATCTAGAAAAATGTAATTACATGGTTCTGTCTTCTTAAAATATTTTTTACAAAGTAATCAATGAAGTAGTTTCAAGTAATTATGAATACTCTAATTACATCCCTTGTCTTAGGCATGTCCACTGTGTGGTCCTAATGAGACTTTATAGGTCACATTATATATATAATAGAGTACATGAAATTGGATGGGGAGAAGTGCAGATAGGGAAGGGAATCTAGATACCATTAAACTATATTGTAGAAAATCACAAAAATTCAATTAAAAATAAAACAATAAAAAGATAGAACAGAACTGGAGAAATGGCTCAGAGGATAAAAGTATTTACCACACAAGCTTGATACCAGAGTTCAGATTCTCCAGAACCCATACAAAAGCTGTACACGATAGCTTTAGTGTCACCTTGACACACCTGGGTTGAGGGAGCTCAATTGGGGAATTGCCTCCATTGGACTGGCCTGTGGCCATGTCTGTGAGGTATCTTCTTGATTACTGAGTGATATGAGAGGGCCCAGGCCACTGTGGGTGGTACCACCCCTGGGCAGGTGGGCCTGTGTTGCATAAGAAAACAGACTGAGCAGGGGCCAGTGGAGCAAGTCAATAAGCAGCGTTCCTCCATGGCCTGTGCCCCAGCTCCTGCGTCCAGGTTCCTGCCCTGAGTTCCTACCTTGAGCTTCCTGATGAACTGGGACTGGAAAATGTGATACTTGAGTAGACCCTTTCCTTCCCAACGTGATATTGGTCAGTGTTTTGTCACAGCAGTGGAGAAACAAACTAGGACAAAGGCCAAATGCAAAATCAATTTGCATTTCTGTAATCCCAGCATGTCTACAGGAAATAAGAGACAGAGACAGGAGAATCGCCAAAGTTTTGCCTGACTTTTGCAACAGTGAAAAATTCCTGTCTTAATCCAAGTGAAAAAGTAAGAACCCATACTGAAACATTATCCTCTGACCTCCACAAGTGAACTCACGGCCCCTCACATACATATTTACTCACCCATCACACACACGCACATGCTCACAAAAGATAGAAGATGCTTTAATATATTATTTTAAACATAATTTTGTAGTTCAGATTTCCAAGCAAGACACAAACTCTCTAAGAATGACAGTCTTTCATTGAACCGGAAGCTGGGCTGGCAGCCAGTGCTCTAGTGATCCTTATCTCTGCTTTTGCACAGTGCTGGGATATAGTTCTATGTGGCCACATCTAGCTTTTTACGTAGAATCTGGAGATTTGAACTCAGGTCTTCATGCTTGTGCTCTAAGTGCTCAGACCTTCTAAGCTATCTCCACAGCCACACTAATGTTCTTTGTGTTCCACTGTACTTCAAAGCATGAGATGTTGTAGAAAGCAAGAACAATTGGAAATAAAGTAAACAAAATCTCAGAAAATGCTGGTAAATGAGTGCATCTTCATAACTACCCAGGTCATGTTTCTAGAATTTCCTCTATATTCAAATGGTGTGTGTGTGTGTGTGTGTGTGTGTGTGTGTGTGTGTGTGTGTGTGTGTGTAAGTGTAAGGGATCAAACAATGTAATGAGAGAAAAAAGGGATAAAGGGATATAGGTCACAGAAGCTCTGGGGTGCTTTTGAACCTCCGCTCTCCCTTTGCCCCTGAGAACACATTTTATTGTGTATATTTGAGTATCCCCAACCTATGAACCAAGAAATCTCTTACAGTTACCAGTTGCTATTTGCCACAGGAAATAGGTAGTATTTGAGCATCCGGGAACTTGCTGCATTTAATATCTATGCTTAAGAGCAAACAGAATTCTAAATTATTTTTTATCAATATTGCTTATAATAAAAACATACACCTAAATGAATTTAAATCTTCTAATTTTAAATATACTCATGATTACATTCTGAATTTTGTGACTATTGGCCAAGGAAAGTAACAGCAACTTCTGAAATACTTTCTCTAATGTCAGACTAAGGCAATCATCAGTGCATCTCAAAAGCATTTAATGAAATCACAAGGAGTCCAAGGAAGCCCTTTGCTGAGATCATCTTGGGTCACAAATATTCATGAGCACAAGCATAAACATGTGTATCCTCACACTCCACAGTTGTCAATGACTGGACCCTGTGGAGACTCATGGGCCTTAATTTTCAGGGGATTAATTTATAGTAGAACCGTAACTATCATCATGTTTGTAACAGACACAGGACTACTGCTACTCTGGGTACTGGTACAGATTCTCAGCAGCTTTTAATTGGAACCAGAACATTCTTTGAAAACTGCTAGGGTTTAGCTATTCCATATAGTTGGTACTGGACTATGTGATTCTGGGCATGTCAATTATAGCTAGAACTTCACACTATCTTTAAAACTCAATTTCTGGGGCTGGAGAGATAGTGCAGCAGTTAAGAACACTGACTGTTCTTGTAGAAGACCCAGGTTCAAATTCCAGCACCCACATGGCAGCTAATAACTGTCCTTAACTCCAGTTCCAGGGGATCCAACAGTCTCTTCTGTCCTCCGTGGGCATTGCACAACACGGGTGCACTTACCTACATGCAGTCAATACACACATACACATAAAATAAAAATAATAAATAAAATATTTTTTAAAAAATCAATTTCTGAGTTTAGAGCTGTTCGTCCCATATTTCATTGCTGACAAGTGTCAAGCTATCACATAGTTTAGAAGAGTGATCAGAAATTATATTCAGTTGTGTATATGCACAAGTAAAAATGTTCTTATATGAATATACATATATATATATATATATCAATTTAGGATTATAAACAGGAGTCATGAGCATTTTATGTACAATAAAACATACATAGTTGACTTTAAATGACGTAAATAAGTAATACTTTTAATGTGCTATTCACTATGATGGCATCATTTTAGAGGAAGTTCCAGTTCACTCACAGGGTAAGACTTATCTATAATGGAATTAGTTGTCAATGCATATGGATTTCTTTGTAATGTTAAGCATTTGTGACTGATGTTCACTTAGAGTCTTAATAGAGTCATAATGTGGTTAATGATGGTCTACTTGGAATAGCAAGCATGTTACCTCTCATATTATCTTATTATTTACTTGAAATTGCAAGGTAATAATATTCCCTTAGCTCATGGCTTCCTAACAAAAAACTGTTAAAGCTGTAGTCTAGTTAAAAGTCGAAAATATATGCTGGGTGTGGTGGCACATGTGCATACGCTTTCAGAAACACACACACACACACACTCACACACACACACACAGACAATAAATATTTTTTAAAGGGATAGTGATTAAGTGTCCCCCTGAGACATCCTCCCTTAGAACAACCTCATCTTTAGCACAGATAGAGCATAGTATATCACTATCAAAAACCCCAGAATAATATCAGGGTAGAATCAAGAAAATGCTCACAAGCCAATTGGATAGAGGACATTCCTCAGTTGGGGCTCCCTCTCCCAGGTGTGCCAAGTTGAAAAAGAAAGCTAGCTATGATAATTCACCACTGGTCAGACTTCACACATAAACACATCAGTTTAAACCATTACCTTTCCTTTCTTTGCCTGACCCAAAGATCACACATTAACATCACAGAATAAAACACAGGGCAAATTTAGAAGTCCCATAGGATCTTGGGTGTAGGTTCATCCAGTGCAGTCTGGTCAGCTCACCACAGACATCAACTTTATTCAGCTTTTAAC